CATCCTTCAATCACGGGATCCACATCACACGGTCACACGTGTTGACTGGCTCCTCGAGCAACGACTTCTCAGGCAATAGAGTTATTTTGCTTCTTAAAAGTACGAAACATGCACTGATTCTTTCAGGCACCTCTGAAGGATCGATAAGAACTCAAGGAAAATAAAGTGGCTGACTCACTTCTCAGAGTTCCAAACTCTTACTGTTCGCAGCAACATTTCCGAAAATTGCTAACGTAACCAACGCTTTTGGGTAAAACAACAACCATGCTAGGAAGTTACTCCAGAGGGATATGATTGCAACTCAGACGGTGCGTATGATGTCCCGATTTTACTAGAAAACTGGCGCTTCTCCTGTATTGTTGTTCCACTTTTCAGTAAGTTTGCTCAACCGAGTGAATTCATTAGATATACGGGTAAAATCATGTGGCGCCATTTTTCAACCGTTACACCTGCAACAGTTAGGCCATTTTAGCTACTTTATGAACGCTATATAGGTTGATCTTACTAAGAATTAATTATCAAAGGTGGTCAGAAGAGTTTTCAGCAACCATTCGATTAATGTGTTCCGTGAAGGAAATATACTGCGATATGTCTCGGCAGGGTCCAAAACACTGATAGCCATGGTGGATTCAATGGATACTGGTCAAGTAGCAGTTGAACTGTTCACCGAATTTGACAGCTGGCTTGCGAACGTTTCCTCAGTAAATGAGGTGGTATCATCACCCACTCAAATGCTCGTGTGGTTAATTTTGGCCATGTTGCAGTCTTTTAATGGAGCTTAGTTCAGTCTGTCCTAATGTTAGAAACTGGCCGGTTTCAAAAAACTATGTAAACAATCGCATATTGGCTTTTATAAATTTCGTAAGGTGCAGAAGTCACTAGTGAGTTCACTTTTCAGCGGGGCGACGGAACCACTTTTGATCTCTCGGCCTATTTACACCACAGGAATGAATGTTCTCATTTCTGTTAGAATTTTAGATTTCTGATAGCTACTGAGCTGTCAACAGAACTTCTGAAAACCCATTTTGGGATAAATGCCATCATTGAAATTTCCTCTCTTTCACTCTATGAAACGACCGGAAAAGTTTATCAACACCATTCTGTTATATATTATCTTACCAAGGAATCACTTTTGCGCACACTGAGTTAAATGTGATATTACTTTTCAACTCAAGCAGTGTTAGCTCTTTAATAGGTGATTCCTTGTACAAATTGAAACAATATTATGGAAATTCATCGTTGCGAAAAGATCACTTCTACATTTCAAACCGTTTATGGTAAATTCCACCATCTCATACTTATCATCAGCACTGTTGACGTAATGCGCCAATAATAATATCCCAAGAGGGACGAAACCGATCGTAGGCTGTCGTACAATTTTCAACAAACTTTTAAACGGTGCATTACACCTAAACTACACCGCGCTGCCAACATACTGACTAAAAATAAGGCAACGGGTTTGTATAACACATTTGGTAGCTTAAATCATCATCATTCCGCTTGTTTCCAGGTGATTCTAACTTCGAAGCCAAATTGGTATTCTGATGAGTGTGTTTCGCTGATCCTTAACACACAACAAAATCCTGAAATGAAGATTTTTACATATCCTCGCTTTAGTATCCCATGACTGACTTCTGTGAAATACAGTATCCAAAAATACTTATCCTACTACGAGAAATTATATCAACTTGAAGATCTCATGTAAGCACTTACCGTAGTTGGCATTTTAGTATTATGGGCATGGCTAACACAGAAAGAAACCTCAGTGAGTAAAAGTGAAATTTGCTTTCCGTGGATTTTAAACACCAGAGTGGAAGATAAATGATCTAGTAACACGATGAACCATGCTTTTGTTGCATGTCACTGTCCGAAGACAGAACAGCTAGCAACTAGATTTTCTCCGATAAATAGTTTTCTCCTTGTTTTTAGCATTTTCCACAAGCACTACCACTCGCGCCCGAATCACTGTCGACTGTACAGTCGTCTTCCTGTCCTAGCGTAATCAACCTTGTGAGTTTACACCAAATATAGGAAGCTCTAGCCTTGAGTTTTGTCCTGTTGGATCTAACCAGGCTTCCATATCTTTGGCCATGTCAGCATTTGAACTTCCCAAATTTGATATGCTTGTACGCTGAAGCCAAACGGCCAGGCTCACAAGAAACTTGAAAAAGTAGCCTTGTTGTGTTGTTGAAGGACTTGGTTACAGAATCAACCTTACTCTCGGGAGCGAGATCAAGTTAAAGAGCTATTGCTTTACTGCCACAACCTCATTAATTTCTTTATAATAAAGATTCATAATTGATCGTGAATGAAGTCAAACAGGGAGAAAGATGTAAGATTAGTCAAAAACAAACACCAGACGTTCCTACATTTCCAACACTTAGTCAGACAATTTGGACTGAGAGTGACAGCAAGAAAACCACTGACGTCGGTTACCTGCCATATGGTTCAATGTCCTCAAAGAAGCATCGGAAGGATCACATGGATACCATTTTAGAAGTCAAACAGCACCAACGACATCCAGATGTTTTGCGTACCCCTTCAATCTATTCTTATCTGTATGGCCACGTTAACCAGAATTCACGGCTTTATCCGACGTTTTTTCTTCTTTTACGTTTTTGGCACCACATTTAAATAGCGTGTATTCTGTGCACGCCATCACGGTTGAAAGATGCTGCTAAGCAGCAGCAGTAACAGCCGCTGCACTCGACGGTATTGTGTCCATTCTTCTGAATAGGAAGGCTCAGATGGCAGTCTTGGAAGCCCAGAGCGTAGCGTTTTCTACTCACTTCAACTTAATTTCCTCCACTTGAACTACCGCAACTCGATCTCAGACGTTCTACATCCAACCTCCAACGTGTCATTGCGTTCGAAGTGGCCCTAAAGCCAGATCTGATTGATATCGTTAAGCAACTGAGACCTACCAAACATAAAGGTCGGAGTTGCTATGCTTCAACTGGCCTAATTTAGATTACAAAGCTGAGTAATTACTGGGCATAACAGGAGTCAAGGTGCGTACCCTAGTAGCGACGGCGAACTAGAAATGAAACCGTCTAAAGTTAACTGATAGCTACGTAATCTAACGCAACCTGTGAGTGGTTTTTAGCACACAGCTGAAGAAATCAATACCCGTTATCCACTCGCTGAGTACCGACTTGAAACCTACCATTTAGGTGGGCTTCTTTCGGGCTTAGCCATCTAAATGTTGCAACGTTTCAACAAGATAAGCCTCCTGGAGGACTTGACACAGTGAACGGACATTGAAGGCTGGAATACATGTGTGAGTAATTAAAAATGTACTGGCCGCAGTGCATCAGTCGATGGTTGGAGACTGGGATGTGTGTGAGAGTAAATTGACAAACAGCTGCAAGAGTGAATGGTACTTCCCGCCAGCTTGGGTTTAGTTGCGTACCTCACCCCGAGCCCTTGGCACAATGTTCTGACCCACAAGGCAATGGAAGGAACCTGGGGTTTGTTTCGGTTCCATTATCTCAGCTTTTGATCCAGCTATTTGAACTGTGATGCCGTGGCCATTTTGAAGTTTCTTGAGGGACCATTCCCAGATCACCGTCATCACTATTGACAGCATCATCATCATCATC